GCCAAGAAGTCAATATTGACATTAAAACATTTGAAATCAGTTTAACTTTATATGTTAAAACTGCGCCCAGGAACTGCAGATCCTATAGTGACATCATTGAGGTGATATAAAGAGCACTAGTGTGCTATTTCAACTCAATGTTCCCTCTGGTTATGTCTGGTAAGGAATACCTCATCTATGTCACCACATAAATCTCAAATATTTGTGTTTGTTGCTGTAAGAAATAAAAATGTCCAAAATGTTCAAACCACAAAAATTAAGGTTTAGTCTATTCAATTTGAAATCTAAGAATGAGAAATTATAGTAGTCATTAGACCCAAAATATAAAATAAAAAATAAAAAAAAGTTTTTCTAGCGCACTATCCCGAATCCCTATGCAGATTTATATAACTCAAAATTTTCAATATCACTTCAATGCCCATAAAAGTGTACGCTCACCTTCCAAGTCAGGGCAAACCTCTTAGGTGAGTCCTATACTAACAGAAAGGGGTATTTTTCTAAACCTCTTTACACTTAATTACTCTTAATAGAGAGCACATGATATGTTCAGCAGCACTGTAAAATGGTGGTGTATATAAAATCCAATACAAGCACACACAATTAAGCACTGCTTAATTACTCTTAAAAACTCCAGTTATTTGAACCTGAAATATAATTTTACATTAAAAATATTTTTTCCAGATGCAGTGTGACCTTTAAGTTAGGTAAAGTTTAGGTAAGGTTTTTCGTTATTGAAAAAATATGACATAATTATAGATTTATTTTTTTTAGTAAACTAACAAATATGCACCTGTCAAACTCAAAATGTGTCTGTTTTATTTATAAAAGTTTTTTTAAAGCTCATACACTATATTTAAAATGTTATGAGCACTAGTTTACAAACTTTGTTATTTTTAAAAGGTCGAACACTTTACAGAGATGATTTTATTTCTACTGTAAACTTGGCAATGATATAAGTCTACATATCAGTAATGGTTTGTCAGTTATAGTTCAAAATCACTAAATATGTTAATTTACCAAATGATCAGATGGATACGATACATCATGTCAGAGCTCTGGCTAAATGGAAAGAGAGAGGCCAAGATGAGTATGGGAGTATAGGATGCCCTGAATAGTCATTATTTAAAAAATAAATTTAAAAGTGAAATACATGCAGGAAATAAGTCATAATTTTATCATTTTCATTAAATTGGAATGATGCAAAATAGAGAATATATTCTAACCAATGCAATGAGCATGTTGTGGTGATTGGAGTATGCATCGTTTTATTTCCATTGCTTTCACAGAGAGAGGTCCTTGGCTCTTTTAAAATAAATATTATTCTTTGCACAAAAATAATAGCAGAGATAATAAGTTTGAATTAGAGGGACAGAAAGCTGAAATAACCTAACATCTGATTTTTTAATAGAACAAAATAAGCTTTCTTTAGGTACCATAATCTATGGGGAAAGTTATCTCTTAAGACTCGTACTGGAGTACTGGAAGGCTTTATTAGATAGTCTATCTCTAAAAATAAGACAGGAATAGATTTTATAAAAAATATCCACATTGTGTTTAATAAATTAATTTACTATAAGGTATACTTAACATCAGTTGGTCTTTTCCTTCAGTAATTTCCCTCTTAGCTAACATGAATTGTAATATTTGAAGTGTCCTTACCAAATACTTCATGAGTGATGCACTTGAAAAGAGAGCAGCATCTAGTACACTATTCTACAAAGTAATCTGTATTCCTATTAATATATTGTCACCAAGGCTGCCATAAGAAAGATCAGGGCCCCTGACACAGCTCAAGGTCTGAGCCCTCGGCGCCCACCCCCAAGTGCACCCATAGGGCACATCCCGAGTTCATCCAGAGGGATGAAGTGTGTGTATAGTGGATGTAGTGTGTGTGTGTGTGTGGTGGATGCAATGTGTTTATAGTTGATGTAGAGAGTATGTGTCGTGCATGTAGAGTTTGTTTGTATAGTAGATGCAGAGAGTGTAGTAAATGCAGTGTGTGTAGCTAATGCTCAAGGTCTGAGTCCTCGGCACCCACCCCCAAGTGCACTCACAAGGCACACCCCAAGTTATATTAAATGTTTACACTTCGTTCCTTGCAAATTCTGTTTAATTTTACATTTCTCATCACCTGCTCTGCTAATAGCTTGCTAGACCTTGCAGGAAGCTCCCGTATGTGATTAATTCAAAATTGATGTAAGACGAAAAACTTACACTTTTAGAGTCTCCAACTTCTCCCTACCTGGAATATTTATCCTTAAATGTCCTTGAGCCCCAGCCTCCAATATCATTCCTGTTTGCACAATGTCACACATTTCCAGTTCCCACTGTCCAATCAGACACTGGTAATCTTACCATTAAATCTCAGCGATTGCTAAATAAAAATGTCAATATTGGCTTATCCAGTATCTGCTTTGACTTACTGCATGCTTGAAGACTAAAGCCTGCAATTATTGGAATTATATCAAAGTCTGCTCTTGCTAGATATTTATCTATAAGGCACTAGCAGATGCAGTTATTTCATTATCCTACTTGCCTCTTTGCAGATAAAGTTATCTTTGACGGAGGCTATAATTTTAACATGACTGATTAAAGAGTTCTTACTTGCTCTGATTCCATATTATTGTTTCTGAATGTCATGTCCTTGTAAACAAATTTGAAAGCTAACCGTTTCTTGTATAAGCGACTTTAAGTAACTTTAAAGCAACAATAGAACAATCTGAGAATATTCACAATAATGCAGCTAAAAAAAATTATTCCTTAATATTTCCTATCTGCTACTTTCCACAATAAAAACGTTAAATTTCCCATTTGCGTGAAATCCCAAATTTTATGTCCTTCTGTGTTGCAGCTGTGTTGAGAGTGATGCTTGACTCTCCAGTGTTATATGTTTATCACATTTTTTATTATTATTATTTTAATTAAAATTATCCTGATATGTACAAGAAAACAACATTTTTAAATTTCATGACCACAATCACCACTTGGATCATGATTTCTCCCAGTAGGTGGAAATTAAGTTTCTGAATATTAATCATTTTGTTTGGTTTGCATCAGTAAAGAAACTAATGAAGATAGGGCATTGGTAAAAAAAAAAAAAAAAGATTTGGGCCTCTTCTAGTGCAAGGGGGGGCCAAAAGACAAATCCCTATCTGTCACACAACTCCAGTGATGTTATGCCAGCAGGGAATTTACCATGTATCCATCCTTGCAGTGTTGTATTTGTGAGCAGTGTTTGTGAATTTCATGTCAGCATGTTTCTGTATAGAGCAGGGATAGGCAACCTTTGGCACTCCAGATGTAGTGGACGACATCCCCCATAATGCTCTTAAATCCATAATGCTGGCAAAGCATCATGGGAAGTGTAGTCCAAAACATCTGGTGTGCCAAAGGTTGCCTATGCCTGGTACAGAGTAAATGTGCGTTTTGGGGTATATATTTGTATGTACCACTGCCATTGGAATGCATTGATGTATTTGTGTGACGTGTTTTTCGTTTGATTGCAGTGGTGTGTTTGTATGTAGTATTGGCTTTTAAATGTGGGTGTACATTTTTATGCAGTATTGGAGATTGAATGAAGAAGTGTGTTTGTAAATAATTTTGGAGTTTAAATGCAGGGGTCTGTCTGTGTGTAATTTTTGTGTTCGATTGCAAGGGTGTGTTTGCATGTAGTTCTGGCGTCTGTATGTGGCAGTGTATGTGTGGTGTGCATACATCCCAGCAATCAAATATGCTTACACAGATACACATTAACACACACAAATGCATTCATATAAAAACACACACACACATTCTGATACACCCTGAAACACACTCACACATTCAGATACACACTGAAACACACACACACACACTCAGATACAAATTGATACATACACACATACTGACACAGATACACATGCTGATACAGATACAGATACACACACTGACACACATATACTGGCACATACACACACCATGACACACACACACACTCTTACACAGATACACACACTGGCACACACACACCCTGACACAGACACACACACTGACATATATACACACCCTGATACAATACACACGCTGACACATCTTGATACATGTGAATAATAAAGAAATCCCCTAGTATATTAGAGTTTACCAAATGTGTCTCACTAACATCCCAAAACCATATAGAACACAAAGAATATATATATATAAATGTATTATATATATATATATATATATATATATATATATATATTATCCGATATAGAATGGCTGCTCACTGGTCCTTAAAATGCAAATGTTTATTAGATTTTATTAGATGTTTATTAGATTTATTAGATAAGTAAAAAAACGACCAACGTTTCAGTCCCCGCTCGGGACTTTCTTCAGGGTCAATAACAGGAGAACAAATGATACATACATACATCAGCAATATATAACTATACAATCACTTAAAATAACTCACCCAAGTGTAATGCACCCACCTCCACCGGTGCCGAGTAGACTTCCAGGAGTGCACGCGCATCTAGTTACGTGCTCCGCCCCCCGTCACGCGCATGATACGTGCTGACGCTGTGACCGGCTTCAGAGTCTGGTCGCCTAGGGAACCAGCTACACAACCCCTCTCCATGTCTGTAAGGGGATACATTACATAGTGGCATATGGAGTTAAAAGGTTGCTAATCCTAAACATATAGATAAATATATTAATGTGCTGAAATGGACATTATATAATAAAGTGCCTATAACATAGTGTAAAGTGAGCTATTAGAGATATATTATAGAAGTGTGGCCGATTGCCAAATAGGAGATCTGAATAACCCGATCTTAAAGTGAACTTGTTATTACAATGAGTGCAAAGTGAGTTAATGAACCATATCAATTGAAGGAGGTACTATAATGCCTCAGTGGAATTAATATAAAGTGCTATATTCAAATAAAGTATTATTGTGCAAAACTTGTAAAGTGCCACTGAGGTATTATAGTACCTCCTTCAGTTGATATGGTACACTTAGGTAGATTGAATTAACAATGATGAAAGCTACGAACGACCCAGAACGCTGGACATGCGGGAAGGAACTCAGAACCCTCTTCCACATTTGGTGGTTATGCCCACTTATTAAGCCCTTCTGGGCCGTGGTCCACACAGTGCTCATGACCATCACCGACGTGAACCTGCAACCCACACCTGAAACATACCTGCTCCAACTGACCACGATGCCCACAAACAGATTTATAAAATTGTCGATGCCACACCTATTGAACGCGGCAGGTAGCCTCATCCCAGGACACTGGAAGCAACACATGGAATGGATGACCAGAGTGGAGGACATCAGGCGCATTGAAGTGCTAATCCACTCCCCATGGGACGTATACAACGCTACCACGACGCGTGGTACCATTGGCTCCAGTGGCTCTCCTCCCCCACTGCGGGCACAGGAAATGTGCAACCCCCGGCAGTGGGCGGGGGACTACTGACCCCTGCGACATCAGTCAACGAGATTACACGAGCAAAGATGACAGCCCAGCCGACCCATAGCGACCTCGCGGGTCTCGCTACAACCCATAACCGGGAGAACGGGGATAAGACGACGGCGGATGCAAAAGGATGCCGGCCCCAGCATGGGGCAAAGGGAGCTCGGAGGGGGTTCTAGGGCCACACACCCCCACCTTCCCTTGACCCTCCACATCCCTCCCTGCCTAACCCTGAACCCACTACCCCTGTCCTTCATCTTTCAATCTCCCGCTTCTCCCTGGGCCTCCCCTCATCCCCCACTCCAAGCGACTCACAATACACATGACCCACTACAGACACAATAGCACAGAGACAAGAACTACTGTAATGGAACTCCCCGTACTGCGACCGAGTACCTTCCGTTGATGGACGCTTCATGGCCTGCGCCGAGGACCACAAGCACCGCACTGGACATCACAACCACTGCAGACTCCACAACCGCTGTAACTGGAGTCTCGCCGTCTTCTGACCACCCTGGATCAGCTTCTGTCCTCCAGGACCGTGTGGGGAAGACCTCTCCTACAGGAGAGCGTATCAGGAACAAGCTCTTAAAAGAGCTAAGTGATTTAAAGCTCAAGGGAGTATGCAGAGCATAGCAATCTCCAGTGTGATATAGCAGTTCCCTCCAATCACGAGACGAGACTACGTGTTGAGGGTCAAGAAGATCTGTTTTACTTGGCACCAAAGGGCCTTCTTTTTGCAGGTTTTCCCTACATAGGACCACCCACAGGCTTTTGTAAAATAACCAATAAAGCACATAACATATAGTAAAACCACACCCATTCACTCCCACAAAATCCTCCCCTCTGCCAGGAAAAATATACTTTTTACACATACACTGTAACTTTAAAATATACATTAAATCTTCATAAAATAAAAACATATTCGAACTCAGCACACTTTAATTACAGGGAGTGCAGAATTATTAGGCAAGTTGTATTTTTGAGGATTAATTTTATTATTGAACAACAACCATGTTCTCAATGAACCCAAAAAACTCATTAATATCAAAGCTGAATATTTTTGGAAGTAGTTTTTAGTTTGTTTTTAGTTATAGCTATGTTAGGGGGATATCTGTGTGTGCAGGTGACTATTACTGTGCATAATTATTAGGCAACTTAACAAAAAACAAATATATACCCATTTCAATTATTTATTATTACCAGTGAAACCAATATAACATCTCAACATTCACAAATATACATTTCTGACATTCAAAACAAAACAAAAACAAATCAGTGACCAATATAGCCACCTTTCTTTGCAAGGACACTCAAAAGCCTGCCATCCATGGATTCTGTCAGTGTTTTGATCTGTTCACCATCAACATTGCGTGCAGCAGCAACCACAGCCTCCCAGACACTGTTCAGAGAGGTGTACTGTTTTCCCTCCTTGTAAATCTCACATTTGATGATGGACCACAGGTTCTCAATGGGGTTCAGATCAGGTGAACAAGGAGGCCATGTCATTAGATTTTCTTCTTTTATACCCTTTCTTGCCAGCCACGCTGTGGAGTACTTGGACGCGTGTGATGGAGCATTGTCCTGCATGAAAATCATGTTTTTCTTGAAGGATGCAGACTTCTTCCTGTACCACTGCTTGAAGAAGGTGTCTTCCAGGAACTGGCAGTAGGACTGGGAGTTGAGCTTGACTCCATCCTCAACCCGAAAAGGCCCCACAAGCTCATCTTTGATGATACCAGCCCAAACCAGTACTCCACCTCCACCTTGCTGGCGTCTGAGTCGGACTGGAGCTCTCTGCCCTTTACCAATCCAGCCACGGGCCCATCCATCTGGCCCATCAAGACTCACTCTCATTTCATCAGTCCATAAAACCTTAGAAAAATCAGTCTTGAGATATTTCTTGGCCCAGTCTTGACGTTTCAGCTTGTGTGTCTTGTTCAGTGGTGGTCGTCTTTCAGCCTTTCTTACCTTGGCCATGTCTCTGAGTATTGCACACCTTGTGCTTTTGGGCACTCCAGTGATGTTGCAGCTCTGAAATATGGCCAAACTGGTGGCAAGTGGCATCGTGGCAGCTGCACGCTTGACTTTTCTCAGTTCATGGGCAGTTATTTTGCGCCTTGGTTTTTCCACACGCTTCTTGCGACCCTGTTGACTATTTTGAATGAAACGCTTGATTGTTCGATGATCACGCTTCAGAAGCTTTGCAATTTTAAGAGTGCTGCATCCATCTGCAAGATATCTCACTATTTTTTACTTTTCTGAGCCTGTCAAGTCCTTCTTTTGACCCATTTTGCCAAAGGAAAGGAAGTTGCCTAATAATTATGCACACCTGATATAGGGTGTTGATGTCATTAGACCACACCCCTTCTCATTACAGAGGTGCACATCACCTAATATGCTTAATTGGTAGTAGGCTTTCGAGCCTATACAGCTTGGAGTAAGACAACATACATAAAGAGGATGATGTGGTCAAAATACTAATTTGCCTAATAATTCTGCACTCCCTGTACAAACATATCCAAAATTCAGCCAATTCCATCCAGAGGTTAAAAAGTTAGGTGGAAGTCCTTTATGACCGACCGCAAGCACATTTTCCTGCCCAAAACAGTTCCATAGATTTGGGCTGTGCGGTCGGTCTATCTTACACAGAAAAATGACTACATCCCATTCGAATGCACGAACGGGGCCGTTCATGAATTTAGCTTAGTATAACAGTGAGTTCAAACTGCCGAATGGGACTTAGTCTCTGTAGCTGAAAACTGAGTGCAGGAGAAGGTAAGGGTCGAATGAACAAAGATGGCCACCGCCACGTGTTCGTTTATTAAATGACGGCCACTTCGACTACTTCGGCACTTCGGCTGCATCAGAAGTGCCAATTTAAAGCTGCAGAACTGCTCCAATACAATTTAAAGGGGGAGCAAGAGTCTTTTAAAATACAATCTGCTAAAATAGTCTTTAACAGGCAATATCTTCCAGGGGCCATAGTCTTAAAGGAGCATTGTTCACCAAAGTCACAATGTGCCCACAGACGGTTCTTAAATGGACATACACAGTCCAATAAAAGTCCATAAGCCCAAATGCTTGTTTAAAAGTGTACAATCTCCCAGGGGCCATAGTTGCAGGGGAGGAGGCTGGCAAGCAAGCCTCTCCAGAACCAAGTGGCGAAGGGCACTACGTCACAACTACCTATACCAACACCCTTGTCCCCCCCCCCACTGACACAAAACTCTGGACAACAACAACGTCTAAAATTACACTTTAGCAACACCCCGAAGACCCAACTCACCTGACTGAGACGCCCAGACAACCGGACCCCATGGACACCCGGGGAAGGCAGAATGTCAGGAACCACAAGACAACTACACACACACACAACAGTAAATTGGAGAGAGACATCCCGGTCAGATTGCGCACCACTTCCTCGACAATGGCCTCTCCAACTCCGCCCGACGGACTCAGAGCAAGCCCACCTACGGGGGACCCTGGCTTACACCTCCCTGCTGCCCATGAACTCCCCCCCATCTTTGAATGCCAAGTTTCACCTCTCCTACCCCACACCCCAGCCAACACCTTAACAGCATTGAGAATTCCACTGGTGCCGTTACTCACGGCTAATCCCCACCACACACCCGATTCCCATGAAACACCCACATCAAGACACAGCTAGATACAACCAACAATGTCAGACATGCGACCTGCAACACAACAAGGTACATCTGTAAATTGTACCTAGAACTGTACCCCATGCCGGCCTGCCCAGCAAGGTATTCCAATCTGTCAATACCAAATTCTACCTGTGTAAAATGTTGGACACTAATAAAAACCTTGAATAACATCTTAACACAGCCCAAACACACTAAACTCACCTACTAGCAACCAGCTTAAAATGTTATACAATCTTGTGTTTAACCTTACTTCTCCACACGTTTCCATGATTGTGTTATACAACACTCTGTAACCTTGCACCTAATAATGATATTGATGTATTTTGTATAACTATTCTCATTAAGCAAACAGCTTAAAATGCCACTCAATCTTGTGTTCAACCTTAAACATAGAAACATAGAAACATAGAATGTGACGGCAGATAAGAACCATTTGGCCCATCTAGTCTGCCCAATTTTCTAAATACTTTCATTAGTCCCTAGCCTTATCTTATAGTTAGGATAGCCTTATGCCTATCCCACGCATGCTTAAACTCCTTTACTGTGTTAACCTCTACCACTTCAGCTGGAAGGCTATTCCATGCATCCACTACCCTCTCAGTAAAGTAATACTTCCTGATATTACTTTTAAACCTTTGTCCCTCTAATTTAAGACTATGTCCTCTTGTTGTGGTAGTTTTTCTTCTTTTAAATATAGGCTCCTCCTTTACTGTGTTGATTCCCTTTATGTATTTAAATGTTTCTATCATATCCCCCCTGTCTCGTCTTTCCTCCAAGCTTACATGTTAAGATCCTTTAACCTTTCCTGGTAAGTTTTATCCCGCAATCCATGAACCAGTTTAGTAGCCCTTCTCTGAACCCTCTCTAAAGTATCAATATCCTTCTGAAGATACGGTCTCCAGCACTGCGTACAATACTCCAAGTGAGGTCTCACCAGTGTTCTGCACAATGGCACGAGCACTTCCCTCTTTCTACTGCTAATACCTCTCCCTATACAACCAAGCATTCTGCTAGCATTTCCTGCTGCTCTATTACATTGTCTGCCTACCTTTAAGTCATCAGAAATAATCACCCCCAAATCCCTTTCCTCATATGTTGAGGTTAGGACTCTATCAAATATTCTGTACTCTGCCCTTGGGTTTTTACGTCCAAGATGCATTATCTTGCACTTATCCACATTAAATGTCAGTTGCCACAATTCTGACCATTTTTCTAGTTTACCTAAATCATTTGCCATTTGGCTTATCCCTCCTGGAACATCAACCCTGTTACATATCTTAGTATCATCAGCAAAAAGACATACCTTACCATCAAGACCTTCTGCAATATCACTAA